CCTCCTGGCAGGGAGTGGCCGAGGGCCAGGAGGTCTCCCCTCAGCCTCCTCTTCTCCAGACTGAACCCCCCCAGTTCCCCCAGCCGCTCCCCAGCAGCCCTGTGCTCCAGACCCTGCCCCAGCTCCGTTGCCCTTCTCTGGCCACGCTCGAGTCATTCAATGGCCTTTTTGGGGTGAGGGGCCCAGAACTGAACCCAGGAATCGAGGGGCGGCCTCCCCAGTGCCCAGCCCAGGGCTCAGATCCCTTCCCTGTCCCTGCTGGCCACGCCAGTGCTGACACCAGCCAGGATGCCGTTGCCCTCCTTGGCCCCTGGGCACACTCTGGCTCACATTCAGCCACTGCTGACCCCCCCAGGTCCTTCTCTTCCTTTTCCTCGGGGCAGTTTTCCAGCCGCTCTGCCCCAGCCTGTGGCGTTGTGTGGGCTTGTTGTGACCCAAGAGCAGGACCCGGCACTGAGCCTTGTTGAACCTCATGTGACTGGCCTGGGCCCATTGCTCCAGCCTGGCCAGACCCTCTGCAGAGCCTTTCTGCCCTCCACAGATCAACACTCCTGCACAACCGGGTGTCATCTGCAAACTTACTGAGCATTCCTCGATCCCCTTGTCCCAATTGTTGATAGTGAACAGAACTGGCCCAGTACTGAGCCCTGGGGAACACCACTTGTGCCAACTGGATTTAACTCCATTCACTCTTTGGGCCTGACCATCCAGCCAGGTTTTGTCCCAGAGAAGAGTGCACCCATCCAAGCCCTGAGCAGCCCATTTCTCTAGGAGAATGCTGTGGGAAACAGTGGCAAAGTCTTTACTAAAGTCTAGGCAGACAACATCCACAGCCCTTCCCTCACGCCCTAAGCAGGTCACCCTGTCACAGAAGGAGATCAGGTCAGTCAAGCAGGACCTGTCGTTCATAAACCCATCCTGACCAAGCCTGATCGCCTGGTTCTCCTGTACGTGCCTGGCACCCAGGATGAGCTGCTCCATGACCTCCCCTGGCACCGAGGTCAGGCTGACAGGCCTGTAGTTCCCCAGATCTCCCTTCCGGCCCTTCCTGTAGCTGGGCGTCCCACTTGCTCACCTCCCGTCACCTGGGACTCCCCGGTGAGCCAGGACTGCTGATAAATGGTGGCAAGTGGCTTGGTGAGCACCTCCACCAGCTCCCTCAGCACCCTGGGGTGGATGCCCTCCAGCCCACAGCCCCGTGTGTGTCCAAGTGGTGCAGCAGGCTGAGGAGATGAAGGCATTAAGTACCTCAGCCTTTTTCTCATCCTCTGTCACTGTTTCCCCACACGTCCAATAAAGGATGGAGATTCTCCTTAGCCCTCCCTTTGTTGCTAATATATTTACAGAAACATTTTTTACTGTCTTTTATTGCAGTAAACAAATTAAGTTCTAGTTGAGCTTTTGCCCTTCTAATTTTCTCCCTGCATAACCTCCCAGCACCCTTGCAGCCCTCCTGAGTTGCCTGCCCCTTCTTCCAAAGGCCATAAACTCTTTTTTTTTTCCTGAGTCCAGGAACCTCCTGGACTGGTTCCTCTCCACTGCTCTGTATCTCCAGCTGATGTCTGGTAACTTCAAGTCCCCACCAGAACAAGGGCTAGCGACTGGGAGACTTCTCCCAGCTGCTTATAGAATAATTTGTCTGCCCCTTCCTCCCAGCTGGGTGGTCTGTAGCAGACTCCCACCACACTATCTGTCTTGTGGGCCTTCCCCATGGCTCCTGCCCATAAACGCTCGACCCTATCAGCACCATCACGAAGCTCTAGACAGTCAAGAGGCTCCCTGCAATACAGGGCTACCCACCGCCTCTCCTTCCTTGCCTGCCCCTTCCGAAGAGTTTGCAGCCACCCCTTGCAGCGCTCCAGTTGCGCGAGTCATCCCACCACATTTCCGTGACGGCAACCATGTCCTAGTTTTCCTGCTGCACAGTGGCTTCCAGCTCCTCCTCTTTGTTGCCCATGCTGCGTGCGTTGGCATAGAGGCACTTCAGTTGGGCTGCTGTTCCTGTCACCTTTTTGGGGGAGAAGCCCTAATTCTGACAAGACCATTCTCAGGTGTTTCTGTGGTTTCTAACACATCAGTAACCCTCGTGTCTCTGCTGCCACAAAAGACCACGAAAAGGACCCTGGACAGACCTGGGAAGACAGACCCGAGGGAGCTCCCTGCAGGGCTTCCCCCAGGGTCCTCCCCAGCCTGCCCCGCTGCTGGCACCAGGCTGCTCCCAGGCTGCCCGACTCCCCGCCCAGCATTCAGGGAATGCCCCAAGTTCCACCCCACTAATACCCGGCTGCAGCCACAGCCCGAGACACGTTCAGGGGCCGACACCACGTGCAGTGCCCTCTGTGACCGCAGCAATGGGTCCCCTCCTGCAGCACCGACATCGCCCGTCGCTTGGCTCCAGGCCGACCCCAAGTTCCCGGCACTGCGGCCACAAGCCCCTGGGCTGGTAACAGAACCTGCAGGCCGGAGGTTGCTGGCCCAGCGCAGGCAGGATCAGGCAAGCCAAGGGACCCGCGGGCAAGCAGGCGCAGCGGCGCGGTGGCTGGCCCAGCCCCCAGAGAGGGCTCCTGCCTGGCCCGAGAAGGGCTCGCGGTCGGGCGGCAGCGCCCGCGCCCCGGGACAGCGTGAGACGGGGAGAGACCGCATGAAACACAGCGCAGCCGCTGATGATTACAGGGCTGGAATATTTTAATGCTGAGTTATAATGAAGATGCTCCGAGGCAAGAGGAAATGAATTTTAACAGCTGTCCTCCCCACGGCTGGCTCCCTTCGCCAGCAGGGAGCCGTGCGGCAGCCTGTCCAGCCAGCCGAAGCGCTCCCCTGCAAGGGGATAATGTTTGCAAACCGTCCCAGCCAGGAACATTCCGGGGGGGTCCATTGTTCCTGCTGTATAGAGGAGCAAAGCCAGATCCAGCTACAGCTGCCCCAGGAGCAGTGGGGCACATGGTGTGCGCTGGCCCCCCACACCCCACATCCACTGCTCCCCCCGCTCTTCCACAGCCCCTCGGGGCCCAGGGCAGCTCCAGCTTCTCCTGTGGCTCTGCCACAAACAAAAAAGCTTCATTGGCCAAGTCACAGGCATTGGGGAAGGAGTGAAATCATGAGCAGGTTCTCCTCTGCGGGCCTCAGAGCAGGAACGAGGGGCTGGGGAGCCGGCACCGATGGAGCCAGCGCATGGTGGGTGTGCAGGGACAACCCTGCTCTGCTCCCAGCCCCCAGACAGCCCCAGTCGCACCGGGCGCAGTGCAGCAGCACCACCAGGAGCAGCGAGAGAGGAACCCAAGATGCAGCTGCACATGTTTCAGCTTTTAAAGGTCTCTCACAAACAGAATTAAATAACTAAAGGACAGAGCTAAAAGCAAGAGGAGAAAGGCCCAGTCTTGGCCCAGAGGCAGCTGCTGCAACTTTGTGCAGACACCAGCCGGGGATATGGAGCTGGAGCATGAAACGGAGCCACGTCCAAGGGGCTCTGTCTGCCTGGGAAACCAGCTCTGCCCTCAGCACAGCTGACAGTTTCCAAAGATCTGTGAGGCTTTGGGAGTTTGCTTGTCTTTTTTTTTTTTTTAATTCCCCATGAGGCACTCGCTCAGCCTGGAATGAATCTGACCCACTTCATATGTTTTTGTGTCACCTTGCTAAAATCAGTTCCCCTTGAGCACCGGGGGAAGATGTGGCCAGCAGCTCCACGGCCCCCCCAGCACACCCCCGGGACACAGTCCTGCTGCCTGTCCACACTCACCCCTTTTCCTCCAGATTTCTGGTCAAACGGCACCATCGTGATCCGCTTCGATTCCCTCTGGTACGTGCAGTAATGCTTCACCCAGGAAGTCCCGAAGTGACCTACAAAGCCAATGCCGGTTTTATTCCCAGAACTAGCACAGTTCCAGTGCCCTCCCGTTAATAACATGTTGTGTTTAACAACCATTTAACATGACAGATTTCTGTACCTACGGTTCTGGTTGGACTTTACAAGAGGATTAAGCATTATTACCCCTGTTCTGTTCAGAAGAAAGACTTTTAGCAGGACCTGGCAGTGATGTTCCCCCCCAGGGAGAACCTGGCTCCCACATTCCCACCTTAATATCCCACCCACTGGGCCAATCCCTCTCTCCCACAGATTTTGGAGCTTCCGGAGTCACTCTTCGTGCCCCACACCCTGACGAACCACCTTCCTCCGCTGCCCACTCGCCCCACTGCCCTGGCAGGCAGTTCCCCACCCCAACACTTACGTTTCTCCTGCACGTAGAGGTAACCCTCCATCGTGTAAGGGCTGATGTTCTTGTGCTCGTGAGGGTTCTCCTTCATTTTCTTCATCAACGACTCAACCTCTGACCTTGTTCCTTCAAAACGATTTCTTGTCTGCAAATTAAAACAGGAATGCCTTCTCCAGTGTGTGGGCCCGGCAAGGAGGGACCCTGCAGGGGTGGGACCCCAGAGCTGGGCCACCGCAGGCCCTGTGGGAAGTGGGACCAGGGAGGCCCACTCTCAGCCACAGGACAGATTTTCTTCCTGGGCCTGGATTTAAGCTAAAAGAAAAATATTAAGACAGTTGGCAAGTTGTTTGTATTACGCGTTTTGTGAAAAAGTTGTTTCAAAAGAATTAGACCTGCCTGCATCCATGGGAGAGAAAAAAAAGAGTCATTTTATAACAAGAGAAGAAGGCAAAGCTGCAATTTTTTGGCCAAAGCCCTGCACACCTGTCCAGGGTGCGGACACCGACCACGCACTGGCCACGGCCACAGCCAGCCGAAGGGCTTCTGCTCCACAGCCCCCAGACTGCAACAGCAAAAAGCACTGCACTTCCCAGAACCAGCAGCACTTTGAAACACCTGAAAATGGTTTGAAACCCCTGGAAATGGTTTGAAACCCACACTAAAAATCACAGGGCATTGCCTGGGGACACTGGGCGTCTTCGTTTGGTATGTCCTAGGGAACGACCTGCCAAGCAGGCTGTGTATATGATGAAGCGTTATTTACAAAAAAGAATTTGCTTTCAATGACACACTCAAAGCTTTTACTTGATGGCACACAAAAAGGGGATAATAAAATCTTGATTAAAATTTATCAGAAGCGTTAGTTAGTCTGGCGGGACAATCACAGCGACAGGCACTTACGTTCTGGATGCTGATTGTCAGTTCTGTCTTGAAATCGCTGAAGTCCTTTGCAAGCTCGTAGCCGTGGTGGTAGAAGGTGAAAAGCCCCTGCAGAAAGGCCAGCAGCTGCGTTGGGGTAAAACGAATCAAGACGGTCAGTAGAGACCCACAGTCAGGTCCAGAGCAACCGCTGCCGAGGGGAAGCATCCCTGGGATGCCCGGTGGTGGAGGGGCCAGCTCCATCCCTGCCAAGATGTCCTGTTCCTCGTTTCACTTGCAAAACCTCCTCTGACCAGACCCCAAAGCCGAGTCTGTGCTTCCTTCCCCCAAAACCAAGGCAAGCTCCTGCCCCAGGACCCCCCGTCTCCCCCAAGCCCCGGGTGCAGGGAGAGCGGGGCCGGGAGGTGTGGGGCAAAGCAGGCAGCACGCTGCCCGTCCCCACGCCAAGCTGCTCCTGCCGCAGCAGGAATCGCCTTTGCAAGGACCCAGGGAGCTTTGGCACTTCCCAGAGGAGCTTTGAAGGACTTAGTACCTGAGCAAAGGTAGACCTTAGAAAACTCTTTTTTTTTTTCCTGTTTCCGTCACTCCCACACTTTCTCCCTTGTGGATGTTACAGTTCTATTTTTTTTTCCCTAAATCAAGCCTATTTTAATTTTAACTGCCAGCAGGCCCCACAGTCCAACCCACCGTGACAGAAAATGTTCCCATCACACACGTGGCCACTGAGCCAGCAGCTCCACGCAGCGGGGCTCACGCAGGTGCTTCCTCCCCCCAAATCTTCCTCCAAGGGAGGGCTGGTGGGGTGAGGCTGGAGCCCCCCCAGCCATCCCACCGTAGGGGTGCCCCATGCCACAGACTCCTCCCAAGCTCCGACTCCTCCACGCAATCACGCGTTTTTTTGGAGGCTGAGGCGGTTCAAGCGCTCACTTACAGGCTCCACGAACTCAAACATCTTCCTCTCCTGGACCTCTTGCACCTTGGAGACATATTCGAGGGAGACTTCGTAGAAATGCTGCCGAACCAGGTCCACCTGGCTGTCTGCCTGCAAGCACCGGGGGGGTTAAAGAGGAAACACGAAGTTACTACTGATGGGGAGCGCTCGGCCTCGCCACCAGAGGACATCTGGGTTTAATGGGAACGTGTCCGTGCAGAACAAATTCAGCTTCAGACCCCAGTCCAGGGCTGAACAGATGGCACAGCTCTTTCTTCAGCTAAAAATGACTCATGTTCTCACCTCCCTGACAGCTGTGCAGAAAAGCACGCATTAGAAGCGAGAAAAATGAGAAGTCGCTGCATACTTGACAATAAAAGGCAATTCTCTGCTTTCTGGAAAGCGCCACAAGGGGTTCGCGCAGGCAGGGCGAGCAGACAGGGCGCAGACGCTCTCCGGGTTCCTGAACTTATCCAAGCTAGCCCCTTTACGGTCCTCCACAAGTCTCCTCTCGCATCAAAACCACCGCCAGAAAGAACGTGGCGACCCAGACGGAGCTGCCAGGCAAACATGCCAAGGTTCAGGTCTCGGGCTGCAGCGAGTGCCCGAGCCGGTCGGTGCTGCCGGAGGGCGGCAGGGACAGCACCCGCGTGCGCTGCCATCAGCTGGGTGACCTGCTCAGCCTGGTGGCGGAACTCAAAGAGGAGGCTGAGAGGTTAAGAAGTATTAGGGAGTGTGAACGGGAAACTGACTGGTGGAGTAACACCCTCGAAGCCCTGAAGCAACGGGAGCTAATGGAAGCTCCAAAGGAGGCAGGTAATCCCTCACCCTCCTGCTATCAGGCAGAAGGAGGGGCACTAAGAGACAAGGGGGGCTGGAAACAGGTCCCTGCTCGGGGAGGCAGGAAAATCCTGGAACACATGTCCTGTGAGGAGCGGCTGAGGGAACTGGGGGGGTTCAGTCTGGAGAAGAGGAGGCTGAGGGGAGACCTCATCACCCTCTGCAACTCCCTGAAAGGAAGCTGCAGAGAGCTGGGTTGAGCCTCTTTAGCCCAGTAGAAAGCAACAGGACAAGAGGGAATGGCCTCAAGTTGCGCCAGGGAAGGTTCAGACTAGATATTAGGAAGCATTTATTTGCAGAAGGGGCTGTTGGGCGTTGGGATGGGCTGCCCAGGGAGGTGGGGGAGTCCCCATCCCTGGAGGGGTTCAAGAGTCGGGTCGATTCAGAGCTTAAGGACCTGCTGTAGGTGGGAACTGTGCTAGGAGAACGGCTGGACCAGATGATCTCCAGGGTCCTTTCCAACCTAGATGATTCTGTGATATTACTATAAGCGTATTCCTTTTAAAGTGACTAATATCCCCAGATCTACTTTCATGTTTAAACACAGATGATGATATTTTCCTCAGTCAAAATCTTCAATGGGATTTACTTGGGTTCAGTGCTTAGGCCTATGTTTAGGCACCACATGCAATTCAATAGTTCAAAAGTACAGACCGAAATCAAACTGAGAATAAAATCTAAGGTAGCTGATGGTGCTGGCACCCGTTAAATTCAGGCTTCTTTAATCCACAAACTTCCTAAATCATCCATATTTCATCCTTTTCCCCAGAAGGTTTAAATCAACAAACTGGTGAATTTGCTACAGTTGCTGTTGTTCACAATTCCTCACTGCAAAATATTTCAGCAGTAATTCAGCAAATATCTGGTTCATTAAAATCTTAATTCTAAAATGTAATACTTGAAAAATAAAACATATATTAGAGCTGCTCCAAGAGTATATGGGCAATTGAACATCCCAGGAAATTCTGTGATTCTGTGAACGCCCAGAGCATCCCGGGGCTGAACTGGGCAGCACACGCACCCACCAGCCTCTCCAGCGAGCGCGTCACTACGGTGGGGCAGCCACAAATCCCCTCTGCTTTGCGGGTAAAGCCCAAATGAGCGAAAGCAGGAATATGCCCCAAAATGCATAAAAATAAACCTTGGCATGCAAGCGGAGCGGAGCCGCTGCACTAGCAGTGGGGTGAGGGACGCGGGTACCCCCAGCGCACGCTGCTGCCACGTTTGCAAGTGACACTTTGCGTGGAGCAACCGGGGCGTCAGCGAGAGCCTCGCTGGGCCTGGGCAGAGCCGCGCTGCACTGCACAGCCCACCGGGGCTGGACGTGGGGCCGCTGCTGCAAACCCAGCTGGCAAAGCCCCGCCGGCGTTTGGGCAGCCGCTGGCTCCTGCTTTTCTGCGTGACGCTGCCCCGAAACGGCCCGCGTTCCCCAGGACCCGCCAGCAGCCCTTGTGCCGTGCGCCCGCGGCGCGCAGGCTGAGCTATTCAGCGAACCGGAGTTCTGAAAAGCAGAAAATATGATGCAATCAAGTAACTTTGCCAGGAGTTAAGTGGCAGATTAGGCTCTGCGTGTTATTTAATTGGTCGACAGCCAAAGCAGCAGAGAATTCCCATGGTTTCCTCCCCTCCCCGCCTCGCTGCAGCAGTCGCACATGTGGCCACTATCCCCCGCCAGATGCAGACAGCGGGAGGGGGTTAGGAAACACAAACCACCAGATCTCCCGGACACAAACGCTCTTCCCTTAGGGCATCAGGGTGTCTAGTGAAGCTTCAGACTCATAAACGGGGCGTGTTGACTTCCCCAAAACGATACCACCCCGCTGGCACTTTTTCCGTGCCGACATCTGCCGTGGCTGCAGCCCCCTGCCCGGGAAGCCCCTCGCTGGGCAGGGGGGGAGCGGGGCGGGTGCCAGACGGGGCAAGCGCTCCCATGTGCCGCTAGATGCCACATCCACGTTTCACAACCCACACGCTGAGCTCTTTCACAGGCACCCCCCATCCTCGGTGGGGCTTGAGCCACCAGAACCAGTGAATATTTTCTAGCTCCCCAGGGGACAAGGTCCCAAGACTGGAACTTGGGAGCTGGCTGCAGCCTCCTCCAGCCCTCGCAGCCAAAGTCAGCGTTTGGGGTGGAAAATGCCAGCAGATGGCACCAGCAGCCAGCGCTGCTCCACACGCACCCGCAGCGCATTCCCCACCGCATCCCGCTGCGGCGGGCTCCCGGGCAGCCCCGCCAGGCCGTACCCTGACGGGATCACACCTCTGAAAGTCACTGCTGCAACCTCGCAGGCACAAGCGGCTCCTTCCTTCCCCAGAAAGAAATCCTTCCATTCCCGTGTCTCACAAGAGTGGTTCAAACACGAACTAAAACAGGCTTAAGGGGTTATTTAAAAGTCATGAGAATGGGACTCTCCATCTTCTGGGTTCTCAAGTTATTTACAAACCCAGAACACCTACGCAAGGCCAAAGTTTGCAGGCACGTCAACCCTGACTCTCACCCCTCTTCAACCCTGATTTGGTGGAAGGTGATTATTTGTGCCACAGATAGATCCGTTCCCTTGAGTCCCCACCTTTGCCGGGCACCGTCCCACCACCGGAGCTATCCCAGAGCAGGAGCCATCCCCCGTGCCCACCAGTGCCCCCAGGAACGGCTCGGCAGCACACCAGCATCGTGCCCAAAGGCAGGGACACGCACCCAGCAGGGACCAGCCAGCTCTGGGCCAGTGCAGGGAATTCCAAACTCGGAAGAAGTGACTGAAAACTCAGCGTACTCATCCAGGAAGGCATTTAGCACGGCAGCTCACTGCATCCTGAGTCAGTAACAGGCTCCTAAAGCAGTTTGAAAGCCTGATCACGCCTCCTATGAAGCCCAAAGCCAGCGCAGCCACTCTCGGAGAAGGAAACTAGACATCCGTGATTCGTGCTGGCACAAGGGAAGCCTGCAGCAGAACCAGTTCCCTTCTGTTACGCTCTTTAATTATAAACTCTCTCTCTCCTTTTTGATTGCTATCCTTTTTGGGATCTCTCTGATTTACTCATCAAAACAGCTCCGTCCCCTCTGATTAAAGGAAGGGGGGAAAATCCACCGCTCGCAGCCAGAATGAGGGGAAAACATGAGTTTACAGCCAGGAGAACCAATGCTGCAAGCTGTGCAAAGCATTCAGAAAGCTCAGTTACAGCTAGACAAGGAGAACCAGAGGTTGCTCTCACCTCCTGAAGCTGAGATTCTTTCTTCTTAGAAGACAAGTTTAAGTGCTTTTCTAGGACACCACAGTACTTCTCCGTCTCCTTGTCGTATTTCTTTTTGGCATCCTACAAAACAGAACAGAAAGTGTGATGCTGAACACAACGGCACCAGAGCAGCCGTGAGGGTCCTCGGCATCCCTACGGCATCGGGCAGGACCGCGAGTCCCGGGCGGAGTTACCCCCCGTCCGCACAGCCCGAGATGGGGCCATCACCTGGAAGCGGGTGAAGCTGCTTTTAACCGTGAGCACCGGGCAGCTCCCTGAAAGCGGCTCACACTGCCAAAACCCAAGACTCAGGGGAGCCCCTCCGCTATTCCCAGGGCCCGAGGCTCAGCAAACCATCCAGACCCCGGGTGGGTGCAAACACACCCAGGGAGGAAAGTGTTTGCTACCCAGCTAACCAGTACATCGTCACAACTTCACACCCCATCCCTGGCCATCCCTTGCACGGGCTTTTCCTGCGTCACTAGGGACAGTGACACAGAAATTCGGCTGCTTATGGCCCTAAAGGAGGATGTCATCCTTAACTCTTCTTTTGCACCTCTCATCCCAGCCTCGCCACCCCGACTCACCAGTACGAAATCCACCACTGCCACCTGTTAATAACCGGCCCCTTATGAAGCAGCCCTCTTTGTCCTTTTTTTTTTTCTGGCTGCCCAAGCCAGGACAGCCTGGCCGGGCTGGGCCGTGGCTCCCGTGCCAGTGGGGAGCTGGGCACACCACTGCCATGCAAACATGGCCCCGCCAGGCTGGCGTGGGCTTCTTGCAGGCAGCAGCAGGTTGTTATAACAACAGGAGAGCCGCAGACAGCAGTTTTCATTTCAGAACAAAGGCAGGAAAGAAAAGGGGGCCAGGCTGTCTCACAGACGCCCTCAGCCACACCACAGCTTCCCCGGGCTTGCCTGTCCTGCCACAGGTTGTCCAGATTCCACCCAGTGACATGGCAGGGGTGGAGAGCACAGACTGGGGGGCTCAGGCAACAGGGAACCCCTCTAAGAAAATGCTAATTCATGCTTGGAGTAAGAAAAAAAAGTTCACTTCAACTGGCATGTGATTTTTCACCCTTGGGAGTTACTTGGTTGTGGGTGGACTCAGAACACTGAGGCACTTTCCCAAGAGCTGGATCATCCCTGTCTGCACCCCGCAGCAGAGCAGCACCCCCCTGGTCAGGTCCTGGGGCCACCACCATGGCCATGGCCAGGCGGCTCTGGGCTCTGCTCCTCAGCCCCAGCAGGGTGTCCCCGAGGGGACGGCACTCGGGGCAGCAGCAGCTCACCTTGGCAGCCCCGATCTGCTCCTTGCGAAACTTCTCCAGCGGCGTGATCAGCACCTCGCTGGCGTTCTCGATCTGCGGGCAAAGACCAGCACAACTCACCCATCACCTTTGTCCAGCTCAGCCCCAGACACCCGAACCACTCACAGCCTTTCCCAGGAAACCCCCCTGCAGCCCGCGGGAGCCCCCACACTTCACCCCTCCAGCCCTGCTGGGCTGAGGCCCGGGGGAGGCCGATGGCCATTTTCCAACTGCAAGACACCATTACTGATGCTCCTCAAGTGTGCCCCCAAATCCAAGTTCACAGAATCACAGAAGTTCACCCGCTCTCCCCCTGCTCTCCCCCAGGCAAGGGAAGGGGCACCCGGGCTTGCCACACGCCACAGTTGCCCCGAGCACCACAACCCCCCCGGCGGCAGCACCGGTGCCACCAGCCGCCCCGCTCCCGGCAGACGGGGCCGTACCATGCGCATCCGCTCATCCTCCAGGTTCCGCAGCACCGTGGCGAACTCCTGCAGAGACTTGGCTGGAAGGGACCCATCCGCACAGTTAACAACATTTAACAACGTTTTCTTTTCTTTTTAAATTAAGAGCAGGACTCGACAAGGTTTTTTTGTTTGTTTGTGCTTTGGGAGACTTAGGGGGTTCGTGGTTTGGGGGTTTTTATCAGCTCTGCTCTCTCCCTAGGAAGGTTTCCAGTGGCCTGGTAGCAGAGCATCCCCGGCGGGGTGTTCCCCCCTCCAGAGGGGAGCACTGCACCTTCACCTCGAACCTGCCCTCCCCAGCAGCCGGTCGCTGATCTGGCTCAGCTCCAGCCTCGGCCGTGCTCGTCGCACGAGCAGCAGCTCACCAGCATGTGCGTCACAGCAAGGGGACTTGGATGAGAAAGCGATTTGTGCTGGGCACAAATAAATAAGCCAAGATAAATCAGGGCTAAAGCTCACTTGGTCTCCTGGCTCCAGATGATGTGCGCAATAAGCTCGCAGAGTTCAGCTGGGGCAGAAGTGGGATAACACGGAGCGAAGCGGCTGAAGCCGCTGCCCTTCGCCATGAGAAGCTCTGTGGTGGGAGCTTGGAGGGCGCTGCCAGGCCGGGCACTGCCGGCTCCTGCCCGCTCCTGCAGCCAGGCAGCGAGGCTGCTGCTCCCCCCTTGCACGGCACAGCCCCTTGCAGGGTATTTCACCACAATCACAACTCCAGATCCCTGCTCTCCAATGCCAAAGGGATGGAAAACCTAAATGGTTTCAGATACGGGCAACCTTCTTCCTTCCCTATCTGGCAGGGGTAGATTTAGGCCAAGAAACAACAACTGATTTCCTTGGGAAGGCTTTGTTGATGCTGACCCAGGAGAAACCTCTGCCAGGAGGATCCTCTGCCATTTCCAGAGTGCAGGAAAGCACCCAGACAACTCCCCAGGCCCCTCAGTGTCCTCATGTGTTTCTCCCCCTTGCCCTGCTCAGCTCAGGGCTCTGGATTGTGGCTTCGGGGCTACCCAGCCCCCAGGACTCACCTATGCAGATCTCATCATCCGTTTCAGCATCGCCGATGCAGAGGAACTTAAACTCATTGAGGGAGTCTGCAAACTTGCGCTTGGCCGCCGACAGGTCTGCCGAGAGAGTGGGAGAAGGGAAAAAGTAGGCGTTAGAAAAGGGAAAAGCCCACCAACAGCACGATGTGGGGGGATGCATCCCACGGAGGGACCTGTCCAACGCCCCCCCCCCCAGCACCAGGGAAGCCCTAAGAGCACTGCCCTTCTCCTGCGCTCTCCCACCAGGGATGGGGCTCTGCGGGGTCCCAGCCAGCACTCGCCAAAATACACTAGAGGAGATTAAACCTCAAAACACCGTGAGCAGTATGCAGGAGCTCCCCACTGCCCCCCCCAAGAGATGGCACCTCTGTGCAGCCTCCCCAAGAGGCTGAACGAAGGTATCACGTATGGGCGATAGCATCGAGGTTTACTGCTCTCCAAGCTGCAGATTCTCTCCGAGATCTGAATCCTATTAAGTTCTTACTTGCAGTGACCTGAGCAGATCCAGGATTGGCTTTTTGAACCGGCCCCGTAACCCTGCGATGCAGACACACGACGCAGGGCCGCCAGCTCGGAGGGGAACTTGAGCAAGGCGAGGGACTGCAGGCACACAAACGGCAGTAGGAAGACGTAAAGCTAATTCCCATGGGCATTTCTTCATTCAAAGTCCAAACATACCGCGGTTTTTCTTCCTTGCCAAGCACAGGTGGAAAACATGCGTGTGTACATAAAGGCCGTTTCCTCCTCTCGCACACCAACAACAGAAAGATAACCGCAGAAGAATTCAAGTGCTTTGCTTTCCCCACGGGATAAGGGAGTTCGTAGCTTCCTCCAAGCATTAAAGCTGTTCTCCGAGTGTCTCTACTTCAAGCCCTGGAGCTAATCCTGCCCACAGCTCCGTCCCCGGGAGAGGGAAAGTGCCGGGAGCTTTCCCGGTGGAAAAGTACAGCGGGGGCTTCTCCAGGGAGCAGCCGAGGAGCCACGGCCACAGGGGCCCGGGAGCATCCACGCTTTCAAAGCATGGATCAGACAAAGTGGCATTTGCGTTTTGCTCCCTGGACAAAGCAACGGGCACTACTGGCAGTCTGTCCGTGCCCGCGGCTGCCGGGAGCCTCTGCCTGCCCCTACGGGAGCAGACCGGCCGTTTTTTGGGGCAGGTTCCAGGGTGCTCTCACAAGGTTCCACAGAGGGACTCAGGGGAGGTGGGAGGCTTTGCTCCAGCTCCGTCAGCATGAAGCAGGCGAGGGGCACTGGAGGCACCAGGCCAGCCCCTGGGCAGCTCTCCGGGCACACCAGGCTGGGGGGCACCTGGCTGCACCCCCAGGGAAGGGCAGGGCAGGGCTGGGGGCCGGCTGGCAGCACCCCCACCCTCTCCTCCGCCCGTGCCGGTGCCGCCCGCAGCGGAGCAGCCCCTCTTCCCTCGCCAGGGCAGCCGGAGGGCTCAGGGCCTTTAACCCTGGAGCCGGGCAGCCTCCTGCCTCCTCTGGAATACTCACAGACATGACGTTAATGATTTAAGGAGCCATTTCCTCTCCCCCAGCTCCGTGCTGACCAACAGCCATACCACGGCCTCACTGACATCCCGCCCGCAGCACACATGGCACGGGCCCGGCCAAACCCACCCCACCGTGACACCCCCCGGCCCACCGGGCAGGACCCCAGAGCTGAGGCCGCTCTGGCACAGGATGAACACCCAAGGAGGGCTGAGCCCCGGCAGCCCAGGGCAGAGCACCCCCAATACTCCTCACCGGGGCCGAACCACCCCACGGAGAGAGGAGGAAGCCAGGGCTCTGCAGCCACCAGGCCCGAGCCAGAGCGAAGCCAAGAGGTCTTCAGAGTCAGCAGCACCCGGCCGCGGTGGCCCACGGTGCTTATAAATAGGAAAGGGGGAGAGGGAGAGACATTCCCGGTGCGACAGCGATAAAGGAGGTTGGTGGGCAGCCGCTCGCTGAACGACATGGCCAAGTCACAGGGACAAAGTGGATGCTAAAATTAGCAGCAAGCTCGGCCAGCAAAGGAGAGAGGGGCACCCGCAGGTGAGGAGCCAGCGTGGAGGGGCCCCATCATCCTCCCTGTTCCACCATCAGACCCACCCACACTCCTTAGCACGCCGTTTTCCTAAAAGCTTGAACCTCTCATTTACATTTTGGGGAAAAAACCCTCCAGTGGCAGCAGGCAAAGCTCCCAGATGCACTACAGGCAGGGATGAGTGGGGGAAGCAGGGTGGCCCCTCCGTGGGCCAGCTCAGCTCCTGGGGCTTCTTATTCCCCGGGGCTGTGGACGAGCAAACCCAAAATCCTACAAAGGCTCAAGGCAAACTTCTGCTTCCTCTCCTTCACTAGTAAAACCACCCAGACCCTGCGCATGAGTCACAACCAGGCTGCACCAAGGGCTGCGAAAGTTTTGCTTCCAAGTTCTCCAGCTGGCTTCATCAACCACAACATCAGGAAAAACCACCACAAAGCCAGAAAAATCCTCCTGCCTAAGCGACACGACAGCTCGGGGTCCAAGGACAGAGGCTGGGTGGGCAGGGATGGATCCAGGGCCACGCGGGCACTGGCAGAAGCAGCGAGGCTGCAGCGTGCCTGTGGGGACGGAGGTGCCATCCTGCAGTCCTGATGCCAACGGGTCAGTCCCGGGCCCGTCGTGAGCACCAGGGGTGGCAAGAAAAGCACCATGTCTGGCAGAGGCATCCCAGGAGGTGAAAACAGCTGCTGAAACACCAGGAGGGTCTGCGGTGCTGCCATGGAGCCACACGCCTGCCTGCACCCAGGATCCGAGACAAAACCACGTGGAGAAAACACCGGCCAAGCAGCAGCAAAACAGACCCACGTCCCACCTGCGAGGCAGCGCCCGCGTGCGTGGGGAGGCACCGGGCTCCTCTGCCCGCACGCCACAGCGCCCTGAGCACACCTCAACGCCCGGCTCCGGTCAACACGCGCTGGGCTCCAGCCACAGCCACACGTGGGGTCCAACGGAGCAGCGTGTCCTCCCCCCTGCTCCCTCCTCCTCATCGTCACCTCCCAGGGCTCCCCAGCCACAGCCCCGGGCTGGCGGGGACAGGACGATCCCTGCGGGAAAGTCCACTTGACAGAAAACAGGCAGAGGCCGTGCCTGCCAGAGGCCCAGCTGCGTAGCTACAGCAACCAATAATCTAAATAAAATGCCGCTTTAAAAGTGATGTATCGGCTCGTTCCTGCGATACAGGGCTACACGCTCAGCCGTCCCTGGGAGCAGCCTGGCAGCGCTCCCCTTCCCGAGCACTTTGCTCTTCCTGGAAAAGGGTTTGTGACCCAAACCAGTTGCAGTGGGGGGAGAAAACTGCAGAGAACAGGACGAGTGACATGGGAGGAGATGTCCCCTCGCAGAGGGACCGGCAGGGGCCTATCCCGGCCAGGAGGGAGCTGGAGCTGCACCTGCCCTCATCAACCCCTTGGTCCATCTCTCCTCCCTCGTGCCCGCGTCTGCCCTGGCACCCCACGCCTCTCCTCCTCCCGCCGCCAGCCGGGGAGCCGAGTGATCGCTGGCGGAGTTCCCGTCCCAGCCTCACACCTCCAGGCGCCGGGGCTCCCTCCAAACCCAGCTGAGGCCGAGGTTCCTCCAGCTCGCAGCAGCCCTGCAAGGGATCAGCAGCAAGGGAGCACTTGCACCGTCCCTCCTCCTGGATCACCCCGGCAGCCCTCCTCCTCCTCCTCCTGTTCCTCCTCAGCTACTCAGAGTTAAATCTGCTTTCTGGGAAGTGGTTGCTGTTACTGCAACGAGACTGAAGTGGTGGTTTTTTACAAAAAAGGCCCCTTCCAAAGGAATTTGAGACTATTGAAAAAAGCCGTTTATTAGACTGAAGACGTGATTTCACAACTGCGTGTACAGCGCCCCGGACGCAACGGGGACAACCCTGTCCCAGCCCCCAGGCGCGGGTCTCCCCCTCTTCCCGGGGCGCGGGCGCCAGATCTGCCACATCCACGGTTCGGGTGACGGCACCAAGAGCTTCGGCCACTTCGGGGAAGTCATTCACGAGCCACAGCCCTGCCACGAGCTGCTCCCTCCTGCTCACCGGCTCCCGGCTCTTCCCCCAACTTTACTCCTCAGCCAGACATCTCACCTCTGCACAACACCCCTGTCCCCCCTCTCTTTGGGTTCTGTGTTTAAAACAGGTTCAGGCTTTGCCAAAGGGACCACAGAGGTAACACGCGCTGAAACCTGAAAGCCTGGGACTTTTCCCTTGAATCAAAATTTATAAGGGGCTGAGGGGAGATTGCAACTCCTCCACTAGGGTGCTTTTCCTGGCTGGGATGGACACCTGGGAAACGTGACCACAGGACACAGAGGGGAACCGTAACCCACCAAAATGAGACATCCAGAAGACAGACATCCCCTCGAGCCTGCTGCCCGCTGAGGAGCGCGGTGCCCCGGCCCAGCAGCGCGTGTTTGAAAGATCAGTTTGGCTGGGGAAAAAGTTACGCTGCTGGCTCAGAGAGCAGGGGCTCCCCGCAAAGCCAGTTTTGCAGTCAGCTTGTTATTTAAGCTGGAAAAAAGCAAAACCAGCTCTGGCTCAGCTGTGCTATTGAGGCACCAGGGACAGAGGATGCTGCGGGTGGGTCAAGTGAAAGACAAACCTGGTGAGCAATCCAGGAGCAAAGGGTTAATGCTGCTGCAAAAGGGACGAGCAATGGATGCTGAGGAGGCCACTTGCACCCTGCAAGGCAAGTTCCAGCACTCTGGGTGCCTGACGGAGGTTGTGCTCACACAGAGCAGTATTTCTACACTTCCTGCAAAGAAAATTGCTTAATAGCCTATATTTAATGCTCAACTGGACAACAGGAACCAAGACTCCTGCCCCTTCCTTCCCCCGCGGCAGGGAACGGCAGGGAACAGCGGGCTCAGGCTGCGTCTCCCGGAGAGGGACGGGAGGGTCCCCGGCAGCGCAGGAGTCTGTCCCCCCTCCACCTGGCTGCCCACGGTGGCACTGCCCGTCCCCCCCAACAGCACCCGCAGCCCCAACACCCCCTCCCTGGGGCGGTGACCACACTCCCAGTGGCAGCCACAAGGACAGAAGCCACCAGCTCCCCCCTCGCGGG